CTTTCCTCTGTGATTTGTGTGATTCTGGGAACATTCAGAGATGTTTTGATGCAGTAGTTTGTGTTTTTAAAATTTGTCCTCAGCCAAGTGCCACATGTTACGCCCATCGAGGTGGCAGTTCCTCTGGGCATAGCTCTGTTTGGAAACGGCCTCACGGCACTCGGAGCCCGAATACACTGCTTGGCAGGGCACCACACCCAGTTATTGCCCAGAGAGTGGCCACCATCCCCTTCAGCTGTGCATTCCCAGGCCCTGGGGCTGGAGGTCCCAGCAGAACCAGGCCCAGGGCTAGAGGCTGGGTGCCCAGGCAGGAGTGAAAAGGTCTCCCTGAAAATCTAAAGAAAATGAAGCTCATGAAGTAATGTGATGTTTTCACCTTTGTCTAAGTGAGTTCAAGTTGATCTGAGGACAGAAGGCATCAAGGGCCTGTATGACTTTCCAGTGGCTGCTGTGACAAAGTGCCACACCCTCCATGGCTCAAAGCAACAGAAATGTGTGCTCTCACAGCTCTGAGGCCACAGCTCCACAATCTGCTCTGCTGGCAATGCCCAGGTATGATAGGGCTGAGTTCCTCCTGGGAAACCCCCAGGTTAGAGCGGGGCCAAGCTCCTTCCTCGGAGACTCTGGGGGATGGGGCCTCCCTGCCTCTTGTTGGTTTTGGGGCTCCTAGCTGTCCTTGGCTTGTGGCCACATTACTCCATTCTCTGCCGCCTTGTCACATGGCGTCTGTCTCCGTCGCAAGTCTCTCTCTCCTCTGCCGCTACAAGGATGCTTGCCATAGGAGTTAGGGCCGGTCTGGGTAATGAAGGGTGATCTCATCCCCCAATACTGTGTTTAGTCACACCTGCAAAGACCCTTGTTTCCAATAAAGCCACAGACACAGTTTCTAGGGATTGGGCTGAGAGCATCTTTTTGGAGGTCACATTCAGCCCACCACAGGGCATCTGGTTTGTAGCATTTCCAGAGGCCAAGGGTCTGTTTTTTGGTCAAAGCAGGTGTGGCACTTCTGTTCCATGACACAAACTGGCTCATAGTCTACGTATATTCTTCTTTTGTCTTTTGTATATTGTGTATTTGTACTTTATATTTTGTGTTGTTACATTTAAAAAGTCTAAAGGGGCCGGTTGCGGTGGCGCACACCTGTAATCACAGCACTTTGGGAAGCCAAGGTATGGGCCGATCACGAGGTCAAGAGATGGAGACCATCCTGGTCAACATGGTGAAACCCCATCTCTACTAAAAATACAAAAAAATTAGCTGGGTATGGTGGCGGGCACCTGTAATCTCAGCTACTTAGGAGGCTGAGGCAGGAGAATCGCTTGAACCTGGGAGGTGAAGGTTGCAGTGAGCCGAGATTGCGCCACTGCACTCTAGCCTGGGCGACAGAGTGAGACTCCCATCTCAAAAAAAAAAAAAAGTCTAAATGGGAGCAATTCAGTGTATTTGGGACTTTGTTTTTCTTTTCAGTTTGTGTGAGTTGAAACCCAAGCTGGGCAGGAAAAGAAGTGATGAAGTAGCGGATGTCATCTCAGGCACTGGAATCCGCAGGCAGCAGGGATGTTAGACCCACTCTCACTCTGCTTGTGCGCTTGGCCTTCTCTGCAGAGCCAGGCGTTTTTTGGGTTGTTCCTTTCTACGGGTCCCTCTGGGCTGGCAGTGAGCAAGTGTGGGCAAATACATGGCCACTGGTTTCCCACCAGGCCCCCGTTATCCTGTTGAAGTCTCAGAAAGTGATTAATAACTCGCCACACACATTTGTTGTTGTTGTTAAAGCTGTTAAACAAAAAAGTGAGGAAAAAAGGATGTTCATGTAACTGACCAATACTTTGCACAGAGGAGATCATCTATTGATGGAGAACCAAAATGGACTGTGAAATTGGAAAATTAGATATTGGAATCACTTATTAGAAGTTGTACAAATAGCATGAAAGCGTGGATACATATTTTATTTTGTTTTTGATCCTGTAATAATAAACTTCTGTATTTTATGATCATAACTGTTTACAAAAGTAGTCTAGACATTGTTGAATCCTTATAGTGACAAGTTTTCCTAATACATTTATAGTAATTTGACTTTTTGTTGTTGTTGAGCTGGAGTCTCACTCTGTCGCCCAGGCTGGAGTGCACTGGTGTGATCTTGGCTCCCTGAGCCTCGTCCTTCCAGGTTGAAGTGATTCTCTGCCTCAGCCTCTTGAGTAGCTGGGATTACAGGTGCCTGCCACCATGCCCAGCTGATTTTTGTATTTTCAGTAGAGATGGGATTTTACCATGTCGGCTACGCTGGTCTTGAACTCCTGACCTCAGGTGATCCACTTGCCTCGGCCTACCAAAGTGCTGGGATTACAGTCGTGAGCTACTGTGCCTGGCTGTAATTTGATTTTTAAAAAGCAGTGGAGTTATAATCACCATGTCATTGGTATGCTATAGTTGCTCAGCACTGTTTTATAATCTGTCATCAGCTAACTGGACGGGGAACAGGCAGACATTGTTTTTGTATTTGGCAAATGTTGAAAGTGTGGCTTGGAGTCATGTGCTTCCATGTCTTACTTTTCTGATTCTTTCTTTGTCCTTCCATGGTATGGATTTTTTCTCACTGCATTGCCAGGGGCCAGCCAAATCCTTGCTCACCCAGTGACGGGGCGTGAATGTTACCATTTCCTGGCCCATGATCCAGAATTTTAGCTGCAACAGAGGGCTCTGCAGGAGTGGGTAGTTTGAGGTCCGATTGTGATGGGAAAAGAGATTAATGCGAAACAAGATGCTGATTCTCAATTTGTAGGATATAGCAGGACGGGATATCATCTGGCAGAAGCAGTCTGGAAGAGGCTGACTTGGAAGAATCAAGAACTGTTTTTTTTTTCTTCTGTATTCAGATCTGTTCATGTATGAACTTGGCTGTGGGTTAGCCTAGTATAGACCAGGGGGCCGTCTGTGCCCAGATTCCAGAGGCCTTGTGTGCATGCATACGTGCGGGATCTATGTGGGACCTGAGTGGAGTCTGGGCAGTGACATTGGTGTGGCTGTTCCCACTGGCATGTCCAGCCACATAAGCAAAGTTCGTTAGGACCCCTGGCCACCACCACTGGAGTCTTGCGTCCTCCTTGGCTCCCGGGCCAGCACAAGTTCGTGGATCCCCTGGGTATCTTTCTGGTGGATCCTGCGCTCTACCCATCCCAGGCACGGGGTGGGCTTCCATTCGTCACCAAGAGTGGGACGTGTCCTCCTTCCAGGCCACCCCCTCACTGTGACCATGGCTGTGTTTGTGACGCTGCCTGGGTTCACGCCCTCAGGCAGCAGTGTTAAGTGGGATACCCTTGGCTGCCTTAGCAAGCCCGGGACTGGGAGCAGTGGGCAGTCGCCCCATCTTACTTTCGTCGCCCCCAAAGGCTGCAGCCGTCTCTGTTAGCCGGGGTTGGGGAGAAGCCGCAAGAAGTGGAGCACTGTGTTCATGGCTCAGTCACCACCTCCTGCTTGGGGGTTGTTTCTTCTGCGCACGGGATACTGAGGCTGCAAGTCCTGGATGGAAGCAGGCTGCTGTCCCTCCTCCTTCTGGGGTGTTCCAGAGGCTTTGGTCTGGGCAGCACTCTGCAGCACTCACTGGTCAGTGCAGCTGTGCTCTTGGGAGTGGAAAGACTCTAACCGAGGGTCCCAGTCGGACCTGCTTTGCCTGTACCCCACGGGCCCCTGGCTGACGGTCAGCTTCCCTGGTGATGTATGCTCCACCCACCAGGGGAGCCTGCAGGATCTGCAGGCAGGACCTCGGTCCAGAGCTGATCGTCTCTGGAGACCTCTCCGGCAAGGTGGCTCTGCTGAACTTTGGGGTAGGAAAAAAGAAAAAAATTTGAGAAAAAAAAGAAAGTGGCAAACCACAAGTCTCATTCCCCACCTGAGTGGGATTTTAGTCCTTGCCAAAGAGTTGGAGTTCAGCTTTATTCCTACTTCTTTTTAAATAAATGGATGAAACTTTGTCATTTTAAAACTCTTTACTCAGTCAAGCCCTGAAACCATGTTTGTGAAAATGACTTTTTTTTTTTTTTTTTTGAGACGGAGTTTCGCTCTTGTTACCCAGGCTGGAGTGCAATGGCCCGATCTCGGCTCACCGCAACCTCCGCCTCCTGGGTTCAGGCAATTCTCCTGCCTCAGCCTCCTGAGTAGCTGGGATTACAGGCACGCACCACCATGCCCAGCTAATGTTTTGTATTTTTAGTAGAGACGGGGTTTCACCATATTGACCAGGATGGTCTCGATCTCTTGACCTCGTGATCCACCCGCCTCGGCCTCCCAAAGTGCTGGGATTACAGGCTTGAGCCACTGTGCCCGGCCTGTGAAAATGACTTTAACGTGGTTGTAACCCAAGGGTTTTCTTAGTGTCCTCATTCCTCCCATTTGGCCAGCCATGTAGAAGGAGAAAGAAGGAACAATGCCTAGAATTTGACCTGATTGAGTTCCCAGTTTCATGACAGCTGCATATATGAAATATTCTATTGTAAGCTGGAGCTTTGTGGAGAAAATATGTGCAAATAACCCTGAATTGAATATACATGTGCATTCTTTATTGTTTTACCAAGTTTCTGATTAGGAATTCAAAGTACTGTTCCTAGTATTCTCGTGATGGATTTGAGTTGGTGTTGGCAAGGTACAGAGTGTTTACAAACCTATGGAAAAATCCTTATGGGAACAGGGGGTCATAAAACAGTGCTGGTTTCCAAGGGGGAAACCATCGCTACCTTGGGCCAGAAAAGGAGACCATGGGTGGGCAGGGTCCAGGTTGGGTTGGTGGGGTCACGTAACTGAAGGCTGTCTGCGCCTTACTGTCTGCACTGTGGAGGCCACGTCCTCCTCCTGCCCCAGTTCCTTTTGTAAAATGCAACTGACCGTCCCTGCCCCTTGCTACACTGAGCTCTAGTTGAATTTTACATGTGAGAAAGCACTGTTGATTTCCCCTCTCCAGGTGGCATCTGTGATAACTCATACATTGATGTGCTTTGTTTTAATTCTAGGCAGCTTCGGCCACCTCTCTGTCCAAGCTGGCGTGCATGCACATGGTCCGCTGGGCTGTTTGGAACCCCTTGCTGGAAGCTGATTCTGGAAGGGTGACGCTGCCTCTGCAGGGTGGGATCCAGCCCAACCCCTCGCACTGTCTGGTCTACAAGGTCCCCTCAGCCAGCATGAGCTCTGAAGAGGTAAATTGTTAGGTATTTCTTATGCTTCTCTGGTGAGCTTCTAGCAAGTTCATTCATTTTCAGAAGCAAAAGTTCACAAATACGTTTGCAGATGTTTCATTTACAGAATTTTTTCATGTCATGGGTATGCCTTTAAAAAGATTAGTATGACCTTTTTATGTAAACCTGCCAAGGCCATTTTTATTGTGGGTTTTATCCCTGTTCGCATACTGACTTCATGGGATGACTTGGCGAACCTCCAGCTGACGTGTACACACCTTGCAGCGAGATTCATTTCTGTGCCATGTGCGTTTGGTGCATTGGAGCTTGGGCCTTGCGTGGCCTTTGCCGGTGGGTATTTTGGTGGACGAGTGCTGAGGTGGGAGCCAGTTCTGGGTTCCAGCCCTGGCTTATCTTTGTGACTTATCGCTAATGCTTCCTGGACCTCAGGTGTGTACAAAGGGGTAGGACCACAGCAGAGACTCTCAGGTTTTTAAAAAAATTCTGAAATGAAATGTTCTCTGCACCCCAATTTAAGAAGTAAAGAAAAGTAGAGCAGAGTGGGGTTGAGGCATGTGTGAGGGTCCCACCCCCAGCCTTCTTGGCCCCATTGGTGGCCTTGGAGGATGGTTAGTGGTGACCCAGGGCACCACAGACGCAGTGCAAATCCCTGCTCTGCAGATGGCTGGAGTCCAGTGGGCTCTCCGAGGCGTGGCGGCATTTCTGCTGGGGTCTGCTCTTTGGCCGCCTCTCACCTTCCTCAAACACGTCGTTTCAGCAGTGCCAGCAGGAGCTTTTCAGTACTCAGGTGTCTCATTTTTCTAGGGTAACAGGACTGTGCCTGTTATTTCAGTTTGTCAACTCAGTGCTGACTCCAGTGACAGATAATGTGTTCAGTGTTGTTATTTATGATTTGGGTAATGCTTGGGAGACCTGAATAAGAGAACAGCTGATTGTGCAGCTTTTCTTCCTATAAGGAATGTCTCTCCTGATGGGACCATATTTTGCTGCACTCCCACATGGTCTAGTTTGAGCCCTTATTATAAAATTGCTGTTAGAAATCCTGAAGCCGTTACCATCTTCCCCTCCATGCCACTCCCGCGTCCTCGCCTCCCTCCTTGTCTCTTCTCTTCTCTTTCTCCTTGTCTCCACTCCTCCCCTCTCCTCCCATTTGGATAAGTACATAAATAAATATTTATTCTGTTTATTTTAGGTCTATCATGCCATCAAATTGCCCTTACTTTTTAAATGTGTAAACTATATTGGGGCATGAATGTTTTGAAGGTTTACTATCTTAAGGACACAAATGTATCAAATTTTGCCATTTTCCACAAGGAGTACCACTTCCAAATCAGGGTTTTTGACCTCAGCTCTGTTGACATTTGGGCCAGATAACTCTCTGTATGAGGCCATCCTGTGCGCTAGCGGATGCTGAGCAGTATTCCTGGCCTCTGTTCCCTGGGTGCCAGCAACATCTCCCTACCTGTGACAGCCCTAAATGCCTACAGACTGTGCCAGATGTTTCCTGGGGGGTAAAATTGCCCCGATTGAGTGCCCCCACTCTAAACTGATGTAATTAACTAAAGCAGTGAACTAACCCTGGCCACAAACTCGATTCCCTTTCCTGCCCTGCGAAGGCACTCCTTTGCTTCTGCCTGAGTGTCCTGCATGGCGGTGCCAGCCCCTCTCACGTCAGGTCAGTTAGAAGCCTAGGTGTGCCTATCTCTGCCGCTGCACCAGCCCATTCTTTATCTCACTCAGTCGTTCATCACTCAGTGAACTTGTATAGAGCACCTACACGTACTCTAAGAAAAAACATCCCTGATCCCATGAC